CGTCCTCGGTAGTTCCGGAGCGTTTCCTCGGCGCCACGAGTGAGTCCGGTCGCCGCGCAGAGGGTGTCGCTGTCGTACGCGTCACGACATACTAGACGAGTGCCGGGCTCGACCAGCTGCGTGCGACGCTGCGTTGGCGTCGCCCGAGCGGCGCGCGAAGGACTGCCGCCACTGGGAGACGGCCTTCGAACGCCCCGGCGCGCGTCGAAACGTGCGAGTTCCGCAACCAAAGCACCTCAGAGGTCGCCCAGGGGTACGAGTCCTTCGTCGCCACCGCCCAGGCCCGGAGGGACGCGCACAGAGCGCCAACGGACGCGCCCACAGCCTCTCAAGGCGGCCCGAGCTCTCGACGCTGCCTGCGATCTTTTTGTCCGAGGATTTCGACCAATGAGAACCCAGCTTTTGCTCGATTCGACGCCTCCCAGGCGCGTCCAAACGCGGTCCCAGCCCCAGATTTTAGGACAGGACCCCCGTCAGTTACCACCTCCGAGTAGGAACCCAAAGTTGCTTGGATATCGGCGTCGCGGAAGTCGGAATTCATTTTCCGTCACACCCCCCTTGGCTTTTGACTTTATGGATAGTAGGATAAGGGGCCGGGGGTCACGGTGGTGGTTCTCACCAGGGGCCGAGGTGCGTGCGCGTCGTGCAGGGCCCGGCCTCTTCATTTCCAGTGTGCTATTAACCACCCGGGCTCGGCGCCTGGCGTGGGTTTCTGTCCGGAACTTTCGCTGATTATCGGGCGAGCGGGAGTGGCGAACAGTCACATGGATGGAATTCCAGCAGTATGACTGTGATACTATGTGAGGTCTAGCCTCCGATCAACTAGGCGGGGCTATCAATGATTCCATGTTTACTCATCTGCCGTGACAGTGCCGCCAAACATGATTTCATACTGTGTTATAGTTCGGTTGAACTGTCCTAGAGCGACCAGGCGTTTGCCGTCGCTAGTAAATCGAACTTTGGCTATGCTTGATGCATGGCCAGGGACCTGCGTATTTCACAAGATAGTAGATATTTACTAACCACCAACACTGCATTCATACATTGACCATGGCCATCCCCGGTGCGTGAGTTGGATAATTATATACGGCCACTGTTCCATCAACGCACCCTTTGGCAAGATATCGCGAATTAGGTGAACGGTGGACAGACGTTACGTGTGGAGCAGAATCTTGCTTCGTGGTATTACTTATCGCCTTCAGGAATCGCGGTGCGCGTTCTGCATCATCGACAGCACTTCCTTCAGCAGTATGTCCGCCGGCGCATTTCCAACAGCCTTGAACATTCCACCCAAGAGGCACGGTCATGGTCATCCATTTTGTATCGCGCACGACCGCCGGTGATGCGATGCGAGTGCCATCGAGGACAGAATAGAAATGAAGTTCGTTTGTTTGGGTTGCGACTTGAAAGTGGCTGGCATCCACACTCAGGTCGATGCACGCAAGAGGCGCGCCGGCTTTCGCGCAGACAGTCCTCAGGCTGCAGTCTCGAGCATCATGAATATAGACCTGACAAGTATGTTCGAGTTGGAGTTAAAGCGACTACCTAGATTCCACAGAACGCGGTCTCATCCGGCAAGGGACGATTGTATACCCGGCTATCCTCGGATGCGGCGAGCAAGAAAGTGCCATCATCACACCACTTGACATCGGCGAGTGCTGCCTTTGACTTGCGAACCTCTGTGAGCAGCTCAGGAGTGTCTTCCTATTTTTCGCGTGTATGTACAAGTCACATCTTTCAACGCTGCCAGAGACCTCAAGCTTCATATTGAGTATAATGAGGGTCCCGTCTCGTGCTTTATCTGCTGGGTCGCCGCCGAGACCAACTGCGAGACGGATCCCATCTGGTGCCCACGAGCAACAACGAGCAGCAGCACCGCCAAGGACGTCTGGCGTTACACGCATCACACAACGACGAGAGGCGCATGACCAAACACGGACAGTACCGTCGTCTCCGCTCGTAGCATATATGTCACCATGCTTCGGATTTACATCAAGGCCATGAGCTTCGGTCGCTTGTTTCTTGCGACGTGCGTGCGCTTCAGTCAAAAGGACCACACGACCAGAGTTGATTGCGAGCTCGCACATCTCACCAGAGCGCACCAGAATGAGGATCTTGGTTCCATGAGCACCACCGAATGAGATGGCTGCGGCAGTTGGCGTTAAAAACGGAATGGAGGCCTCACTGAGTCTGAAGCTAAGCATTGGTTGAAGACGAGCATCCCATGTCTTTATTGCACCATCACGCCCTGCTGTTGCGTAAGCACCACGCTTATGTGCGGTTGTAACAGCATAGATTGGTCCATCGTGGGCGTCAGGAACATGCTCTGCAACTTCAGTCCCACTCCAGAGGTACAATGAACCAGAAACGGATCCAGTAAGGGCAGCAGCATCGGAGTCTGCATCCGACAGGGGGCGGCGGGTCGAAACATCCCGTGAATTTCTAACATCCACACCGAGTTCGGTCTGCGAGGTTGGGGAGACATCTGTGGCAACAATGTGTGCCCTAGTTACACACAAAATTGGCACGTTGGGGCATCTTCGTCCATCAAATGTGCCGCGGCGACGCCTGATGCCGCCGGAAGCCGCAGGGCGAGCAAACTCGACACTATCGTATGACCCAACAAAGAATGGATAGGCTTCTCGACCGACAAATGCAGCGCAGAAAACGCGCGATTGTGTGCCAGACCTCTTCCCATCCACCAGAGCGAGTGGTATACAGTGCATAGGAATGGTCAGGGTCCGACCCAATCGCAGCGAGATGCCTGCCATCACGTGAGAAGGAGAGCACAAGTACACCTCCGCGAAGGTGACGTGGAAGTACTGAGATAGTGTTCCCAGTCAGTGCGTCCCATACTCTGACGCGAGGTGTTTTGCCTTGGTCCCCGGATGCCGCAAAACGCCCATCGTGTGACACATTCAAGGCACTAATGTCAGCCAAGCCGCTTATGACTCCATCATCATCCATGTGCAAGTCTCCACAGCTAGGATCACCACCTTGGGGATGATGGAAATGGAAGCATTGAGTGTGCGTACGAGAGTCATATACTACCCCTAAGGCGCCGCATGCATACACCACCCCACCTTGGGCGTTATACCCAACGAGCCCACGAACGTCATCAGAGCGCTGACCATGTGCGCACTCAAGTTTCAAACTGATCTGCGGGGCTCCTGGATCCTCTTGCTCGAGATTTGACGGTGGCACCAACGCTGAAATCCAGGCCGCCACTGTCGTTGGTTTATTCTTTTGCGAGTCACTTGCCGATTGCGAAGCTGCGACATGGAAATTCGTGGCCTTGGATGAGCGCTCGACTGCGGCAGCCATCGCTCGCCCCCCGTCAGCATCTATAGCGTCGTCATAATCACGAGGATCCTTCTCAGTACTAGAACCGAGGTCATCATCAAAATCAGCGAAGTCTGGCTCATAGCGCCACACGCAGATAACCCTATCGAGGCCACCCACGGTGATGAGGTGTGAGTCCTGGGCTGTCCAGACCAGCCGCCGAACAACTCCAACATGAGCAACTCCTATTTTAGACGCGGCTGCTTCAGCATTACTTGCAGGATATCTTAGCGTTCGCAGCACTCCGTGGTAATCACCCGTGGCTATGACTCGAGCCGAGTTGGAACGCGATACGCATGTGAGATTCAGCACGCTCTTGGCATCATCAATAGCGTCTGTGGTGGTAGTCTCGTATCCCCCGGCTTCGGGCCTTGCATGAATAGCATGGGCTCCAATTACAGGCCAGCCAAATGGAGATGTCCACGTCGCCCAATTCGCTTCTCGCAGAATTGCAGGATCGCGCACCACAACACCAACGTGGAGATCGCCATAGGACAAGGCACGTGCTTCATCAGATGCCTGTATGTGACGACCGTCACAGGTGAAATCGACAGTACACACAGCAGCCCCCTTTGATAGCGTTAGCGAAGCTTTGCGCGAAAACTGACCATGGTCGTCACAGCCGTAGACATGCACATTGCCATCGGTACCACCTGCAACCATGGTTTGACCATCGGGCGAAAATTTGACATCTCGCAGCCATTCGCGCACATCGGTAAACTCATATACAAGCGCCCCCGTTTCGGCCCGAAGAAGCTGCAAGAGACCATCAGTTCGAACATTGGCTGAAACTGTGGAGGTTTCATCCTCATCTACCCCCCTCTTCTTTATCTTCCCATCTTCAAAATCTCTCCTGCGACGAGCCCAGCTTAGTGTCGCATTGCTCGATCTCGGGCCACCAAGGCATGCTGCGATAAGTCTTCCATCGGGTGAGTAGGCCAGGGCACGACACGCGCCTGCGAGAAGTGTGCCACCCAGCCTGGCAGTCCGAACGTCAAGGGCTTCTGCATCCCACAATGCAAGGGCACCTTCATCAGAGGCTGCAGCGAAGCGCTGTAGTGTCGGGTGTGAAGCCAAGCCCCACGACTCGCCGGCAGCAGCTCCGCCACCGGCGATTGGCGCTGACACTGGCACTCCATCTGACGCCCTGAACTCTCTGAGCTGCGTGGCGGCCTGAGAGCCTACCAGAACCCTAGATAAGTCTGCTGAGATGAACACCGAACGAACAGGCCCCGCGCCGTGATTGTCAAACTTGGATACCATCTCGAGAGCGTCATTCCAAAGTCTAATATCGCCATCACGTGCACCAGTGACGAGCGCTACTACACTTGGCCCCCCGAACGTATTTGAATTTCTAGAACGGCACCATGGGGCATCCATGGCATAAATGAATCCATCATGCGCTTTTATAGATTTTTCCAGCTCACGAGATGACCCCCCAAATACAAAAAGATGGCCATCGGCAGTGCCAACGATGCAGTGACCGCTAGGTAAATATGCGCAGCAAAGAAAAGCCTGCAACGCCCCGTGTCGCCCAATCCTCGCGAAAGAGGCAGATGCGTGCCTCGTTGCAGCGTGACCTGCCATAAAGGTAAAGAAAAGAGCGTGCTTGACACCTACGATAGCCATCTCGTTTCCGAGCCTCCCAAAGGCGAGGTCCAGTGGTTTACGCTTCGTGGTTGGCGACGTAAATAGGAGGTATCCCGAAGATACGTCATGTACTGCGACTGTATGGTTGCTATCTGCCCCAATGCTAGCAATCCTCTCACCCTTGTCGTCATCAAACGCTAGGAGAGTCACAGCATTTGAATGCGGCCCACGAATAATCCTGCTAGGCCCACTTGCAATGTTTGACGTGGACCACAAGGGCTATCTGGGGGTCTGAACCTATATCTGAAGTTGCTACAATTGACTTATCGAGTGATATCGCCAGGGCGCAGATTTCGAATCCAGCGTGCGCAGTCCCAAATGACTGGGCACCGCTCCCGAGATCTACACGGACGAGGGTCCCCCCCTGCAGGATATATGACAGCGCCACATTCTGTGTATTTTGCGTTATTGCGGCTGGCACTGCAGCTGTAGCCAAACACCCGTGACAACGTCAGCGCATCCGTTGGAGCAGAAGGTGCTCGAGGGCGTGGTTGAGGCGGCGTCGTCATGGTGAGATACCACGGGTCGCGTGAGTAAGGCGCCTCGGGTTGAGCGAATTCCGCATCGACGCCTGCTTTCGCATCATCCGTGGTACGCGTGACCTATGATGATGAAAGAGCTCAGACTTGAGCAGGTGCACGTACACGGCTTCTTGCCTCTTGCTCGGCAGCAAGTGCAAGCTCATTTGCGATATCGACAGCAATTTCGCAATCAAGAGTGCGCTTGAACTCGTGGTTATCCCGCAGTTCAGGAGCATAATCCTCAGCCTCATCTTCGTCGCGGTCGTCTGCATCCTCGACGTCACGCTCATCTTCCATGAGGATCCACTGCATTACACAACGATCATCACGACCAGCAGTGAGTAGGTGTGTTTCGTCCGAGTTGAAAGTCGCGGCCACAACAACACCCGCGTGTCCACGCCATTCAAATCGCGCACCATCTTGCCGCGAAGGGAATCGTGCAAGGCGAATTCTACCGTATGAATCACCTGTCGCGAGGACGCCCCCGCCAGATTCTGGACCGTCATCTCCGGCACGGGCCCGTGCACAAGCCGTGAGTTGCGCACCATCTCGCCTTGTAGCTCCATACACACCTGCGACACCGTATCCAAAATAACAGGTTTCCGTGGCCCAGCGAAGGTCCTTCAGCGCGCTGAGGTTGGATTGATACTGCGCAGAGTTGGCATTGAAAAAGTGAAGTTGACCAGCATCACAGCATGACCGCACCCAGCGAGAATCTTTGGAGAAGTCGATGCAGCGTACCGGTGCTGGATGCCGACGGCATTGGCCTATAGACTCATACTCTTCCGCACTGGCATACAGGTACACAGAACAGTCTTCGCTAGCAAAGGCGAGGACCTCTCCATCAGGCGAGAAACGACAGGCAACGAGAGGGAGCGTGGAGTCGCGCGCCTCGAAGGCAATGGAGAGATCTGCATCGTTGAGTACGCAAAAACCACCCGTTTTGGGATTTGGAGGCATGCGTAGCTCCCCCGCTGCGCTTGAATTGCCAAGTCCAATAGCGAGCAAGTCTCCGTTGGGATGATAACACACGCACGAGACTGGAGCATCCAGTTTGGCTGTTCGGACTGGGTTTCTGGTTGTGATGTCCCATGCACGTACGGTGGAGTCGGCACCACATGTAGCAAACTCTGGTTTTAGAGGATGGCAAGCAATTCCACGCATTGCTCTTCCAAAGTGGGAGGACGTAACCGGTCCACCAAGTGCATCAGATCCGTCGGCAGCTGAAAGTTCATAGATCTCATTTCCGCCAGTCCCGACCAGAAGTTTCGCACCATCGTTTGATAAACATACTGATCGGATTGTTGGATTTGCGCCAAGCTCAGTCAAATCGAAGCTGGCTCCCGGCTCGAGAGCATGCGACCATTGCCGCACTTTGCCATCCTTTCCACCGCTTAGCGCGCCTAGTGCTCCAACAAAAAGAGCGTTCAATGACCCGCGGTGGGCACGGATGGCCTGTACGCAGTTGCGACCATGCCAGACGTATAAATGCCCCGACGCTTGCCCCGAGAGAATCACATCACCACAACGCGCGAGACACAAAGTTGGTTGACGTCGCCCCCGTCGCCCAAACGCCCCACGTCGCCTTACAATCTTGGCACCCTCCCGTCGCCAGAAGCACGTGTAAGGCTCACCGCTTCCACAGGCAGCAACTGAATCTGGAGAATCGCCCACAAATGAAACGCCTAGAATGGTGCCCAGATGATCCGAACGTCCTGAAAATATTCGAACACCAGTACGCCACAAATAGACTATGAGCGTTCGTCCTATATCACCACTGAGGGATGCGAGGCGCTCGCCTGATGGCGAGAACGCCAGCTGGGTAATGGCAACGGCATGAACGCCGGCTAAGATTGCTAGTGGTGCACACAACACAACATCCCAGCAAATGAGGCTCGGACGGGCTCCTGTCTCTCCGGTGGCAGCGGTGCATCCATCTGGCGCAATCGCAAAACTGACAATGTCGCTGGCGTGTCCTGTCATGTATCGTTGTTGATGCTCTAATGGAGAGTATACGATGCCCATGCGGGCCACCGGGTAGACTATCTCACCCGCTGAAGTATATCGCACATTGCCACGGCAATCCTCGCCGCGATAACCGTGCACCCACTCAAGCGAGAGGTTTGCACTTGGCAAGCTCAGCTCCGGGGGCGCATTCGCCAATGCGGTTGGCGCTAGCGAAGCAACAGACGTGACCCAAGGCTCGACCTCTCCGCGGGGGTTTCTAGCCTTTTCTGCAAGTGCTGCAAGCTTAGATGCCAATTCGGGTGCGCCCTCAAGAGCAGCGGAAGCCGCAGTCGTACCAGCAGGGTAGTTGCCATCTTGTGTGTAGTCAATGTCTTGTTGCGTTGGCTTGTAGTCTATAGATTCTAGCAGGACTGGGACCTTTGCTTTCCCAGTCGGTGGGCGATTTACTTCCTCGTCACCTACGCATGGATACTGAAACTTCAGACAGACTAGGACCGTGGTTTGAATCTACGCTGGCTCACACTCTCAGGAACCTCACCACTGAGAGAAGCTATTGGATCAGGATCGTCAAAAAATTCTAGCCACGATAATGCCTCTGGGTCAGACAAACAAAATGAAATCGCGTCCTATAAAACGCATTCAAGAGTAAACCAATTACAGAGCTAATCACGACCCACCAGTATTCGGAGCTTGGCAAGCGCAAGGGATGTATTTATGTCTACGGGATGTTCACTGTCCTTACCATCCTTATAGCTTGGGTTCACCGCGGCGAAGGCGCGCATGGCAACAACTTCGAGTTCTTCTTCACACGGACAAATTTGTCCAGTGAGCTTACACAATCCCATCAAAGTGCAACGGAACGCGAGTGTAATTTCATCAACACTAAGCTGTCCTGCACCATCAAAGTCAAAGCAGGTGAAAACAAATTCGAGTTTGTCGTGAGCAGACATGCCCGATGTCATGGCGAGCGTCGAGACAAATTCGATTGCATCCACCAGAGCATTTTCATCTGAATCCATTCGAATGAACAGAGCTTCGACCTGCTTATCAAGCAACGGGCGGCCAATCTCAAGTTCAGACGTTAGCTCCTGACAGATGAGTTGCATCTCGCCTAAACTAATTCCAAAGCCATCCGCAACATCATTGAAGGACTCCCAGACAGCCTCGATCGCACCGGCTGACAAGTTGACGAAGGCGCGTGCTTTGGCATGGTAGCGAGCTTTGCCGACCATTTGACCTATGTGGCAGCACAAAAAATTAACTTGTTGAACCACGAGTGGCACTGCCAGCTTGCCCATATTGCGTTCTCGAACAAATACAGTTTGCGGCGCGTTGTGGGAGGTTAAAATTGCCTTTACGACGGAGTGACTTGTTTCCGTCCACTTGGCCTTTCGTATCTCCCACTAGCCTGAGCTAAAGGAAGCAAGTAAGATCCTCCCTCGAGGGGAGGTTGAGCTCAGTTTCAATTAAAGATGCCAGAATGAAGGCCGACGGACCGCGCTTGGATGGCGCAGCCACCTCAGCGGGGATGGAGGAGGGTAGGGTAGGGCGGGTGCTTCATTTGTGCCGAAGGAGGGTGGTGGGCGGGCCAAAAAATATGATAACCACAGCTAAAGCTTCGCGCACGCAATGACTGTCCGTCTCGTTTTGCACGGGGAGGAGGCCTAGGGCTATGGAGAGCAGTTAGATGCGGGAAAATATGCCATATTGGGCGGAGGTGCGGGGACTGGGCCAGGGAGGCCTCCGCCGCGCCTCCGTCGCGCGCCCGAA